CATGCTCACAATCATGACACCACACTTCATTTTATAGCGTCAAATAACTAATTAAAATCAAACTTTAAAATTAACACTTGAACATACATCAGCATTATAAGAACTACCTGAAATGATGGAGACCATCTTTGGGAACATTTTATTTGAAGTGTAATTAGATTTTTTTTGTTTGGCTTAAGTCCCATTCGTTTACATGGAGAGGGCGGGGTTTATGACCTATACTGCAGCCAGCCACCAGATGGTGATTGAAATGTTTTGGCTTCACTTTTCAGGACGTGTATGGCACACTTGAGCGTAATGCATAGATGCCTTCAGCATGTAGAGCTGATTAACCCATTGCTAAGTTCCACTCCTTTTGGTAACTGTTGCTAACTCGGGGGGCGTTTACACAATACTGTTTACAACTAAAAATGGAAAAGGCGTTTTGGCCGTTCATTCACACGACAACAACATTTTGAATTCTTTTTTTTTTTTCCAAAGTGTTTGAAAGTGATACAATAATTGTCTCAAAAAACACAAATTTGTGTAAATGGTGACACCATGCATATGCGTATTATGTGTTTAGTCTATAGGTATGCGCGAGTACTTGACAACTATAATATAATATTTCTTGTCATTTTTGTGGATCCGTGTGAATAGGGATTATTTTAATGTTGTCATCTGTATATATCCCTTGTATTTTCTCTACTTTGTGTCGCTATTATAAGTGAACTGACGACAATGTTTGACAGAAATGTTGAAATGTTTAAAATTTGTGAAAAACTATCCAAATTCTTGATTAATTTACTCTATAGACATTAGAGAAAGTTTGAGAAAATGACAGACAGCAACTTGCTATGGCAGGACTGGTCAATAATATTTGTACGGCTGTGCTTAGCGAAGGGTCAATTGTACTAAACGTAGACTGCGTCCCAGTACTCTTTTTGTGATAATTGCATTTTTAATGAACCACACTGGTGTAGTTTGTAGCTTTAAAACACTTTTTATTTGTGCTTATTTGTGCCCAAATCCTTTTAGAGTGTGCATGGATCTGCACTTCAAATTTCCAATGGAAATAGTAGAACATTTGGGTACCTTTTGGATACTCATTTCAACATACTATGAGTTAGGACTCGCTAACTTTAATTTTGAATACTGATTAGGACAAACAGTATGGGAATTTGGATGCAGTTCACTGTGTCAAAAGACTGTCTAGCATCAAGTCACTCCAAAATAAACTGATGTAAGGAAAACTGTCCAGAGAGATACACAGCATAATGAGATAATGGGCTATCATGATCATTACATGAAAGAAGTCACCCTGCATTACGAACCTCTGGATAAGCGTATCAAAGAAAAACAGTGAGAATGAGTCAAAAGCAGACAAACTGAAAAGACCTTTCTGGAGACCTTAAGACATTGAGCCTGCGATTAAGAACAATGCTTCAGTCTTAATGTGCCTGATGACACTGTGAAGTACTCTTCATGGGTGGCCTTCTCTCTTAATCTCTCAAGAGGCTCAGTACTAAAGGACGTAATATAAATAAAGAAGACAGTCTCACTGTGAAATAGAGAGACCAAAAGCAATGGAGAGACAGTGGACACACATTTGACTCCATAGAGGAGGACAGCGCCAGTCGACAGCTGGGGGTCATCAAAGCTCAAAGACATAACGTGCTGAAGTTCCTGTCAAACAGTTTTGTAACCTCCTCGAACCACCAGCCTCTAAAGGCAAAGAATTCCTGCTTTTATTGACCATTTAATTACACATTCTTTATCCTGTCATGATTTGGTTTATTTGTACTCAGCCAGTAAAGCAACAGGAAGTTGACAGTAAGTCTGCATGCTGGCATCCATGTAGATGCTTGGGCTGATTCACAGTGAATCTGCAGAATTAACCTTCTAGGCATTTGAACAGTAAGTGGCCTGCTTAACAAATCAATGTGACTCACAGCATTGAAATGCTTCGTTTGGGTCATGATGATCACCACATCCTGAATATTGAATTAAGCCACATTGCCGGTACTAGGATGCTGCTCTCAATAGATGTGGAAAGTCGGGATGTGATGAACTGGTTCTTCTCACGATTACATCATCATTTCCACAGGTAACAAAAAAAAAAAAGAATGCCTTCCAGGGACACAGGATTGAAATTATTGCGAATACTTTTCCCGCTCATAATGTGGGAAATTCCCACAAACATTTGTTCACTATGTAGGTTGAATGAGTAAATTAATCAACACAGATGAACAGATCAGTCAGTAATTTAAAATCATTCTGCCATACTGTAATTTCACAAACAGCGTGATTGATTAAGCACCTCTGCATCCTCTCTCTGTTTCTCTAAATATGCTTCACTAAATGGAGTCACAACACTACATAAAAAAATTACATTCTGGCCCTGAATTCTCAAGAATGTTTTGGTGACACATGGAAATGGCTAATATTTAAACTCTCAAAAAAGCCAAATGTAATTCAGTGGACTCTGCAAGAGTGATGGTTCCCATCTGACCTGCTTTCTGGCAAACAAGAGCCTGTTGCAACATTCTAAACGATTCAAAGCTGTGGAGCCAATTTCCTTGTTCATTCGCTGGTCTATTGAAGGCATCCCTGACTTTTTCTCCTTGAAAACAACAGCAGTGTTGCATTTGTCTACAGTGGAATGAACTTGAACATGACTGTACTTGGAACCATCATCTTATGAAAAACTTTTTAGGCACTTTGGCGTGGTAAGCATGAATGTGGCAAAGTTTATTGACATGACACACAAAAAAAAAACAAATGAAATGCAAAGCATTAAGGAGAAATATAGGAGGAGGCAGCAATATATGTACTGTAAGTATGATGCCAAGAGCCAAAAGGACAACAGAGGTACAACTCTGAAATGACCATAAGTGGGATTTGAACCTACAACCTTTGGGATACTACACCAAACCTGTGCCACATCACTGCACTGCATTGGACAAACATTGTAACAGGAGTGGCAACAAAAATGATCAATATGAATATGCTGAAATTACAACTTTCCTCCATACAGATCTAGGTGCTGCCATATTCTCCCAGCCAGAGGAAGCAGAATGATACGCCAATATAAACAACAGGGGCTACACACCTTGTACACTTGTCCGCTAATAAAATCCAAAAGTGCTTTTGGCTAACAGTAGGGGCGCACAGCTGTGCTCATTGAAAGCTGTGTGTGCTATCAGAAAGATATGATGATATACTCATAACATTCCAGGTTCTGTAAGACCTTGTAAGCAGTGTAATCAATGATGGTTATACTTCACAGTCTGTGATTGCAGAAGTAAATGATTGGCAAATACTTAGATAAATATAGCCACACGTGACAATAAAATGGGTCCAAGCAGCTGGAATAAGACTGCAATTGGCAAACTGGCAGAACAGATGCTATTGATACAGTTGTTGTCAACGATTTACCTCAAAAGATGCTAAGAAGTTTGAAGCCTGTTATATTGATCTATAGTGAGGCCCGTAAGAAATACACATGGCTGATAAAATTTAATTGGCTGCCGGCATTCTTGTTCATCTGTCCAACTGATTTTGCAGTATATTAGCACTTGTAGCAAAGAAAAAGTGTGTCAAATTTTAACTTCCTTTCTCCAATGGTTTTTACGAGATTCCCCTTGTATTCTCCCTCTAATGGTGAAACTTGGCATGTGTCCTCCGAACAACCTGGTGTCCATGTGTGACTTATTTGGACATTCAGAAGATGTAGGCCCATGAGTCAATATGGGCCCATTGACAAAAACGTATTGGCTTGTTTCTGCAAAACAATCGATGAACTTGAATAACCTAATTTACAGAAAAATGGCACGCTTGAAACTATACTACATAAATGGACACAAAACTTGACCCTTATTGCCAACCTTGCCCTAATAAAGTAGATTATCTCAGTCAAGGACACTGGTGCACTGGTTCCTTGCACTACAGGACTTCCACTTAATGCTAAAACATCTCAGCAAAAATGAGAAAAAAATGTGGCTGCTCAATGTTTTTCTTCTCAAAATGATGGACAACTGAAAATCTTCTACAGGAGCTGGAAGCAGCTGAGGTTGGAACCCTGATGGGCACTGGGCAACAGTCAGAAATTACAGCTACATTCTTTACATAGCTGTCCTCCAACCCCAGGCCCTTGCTGCTCCTCTTCTTTCTTTCTCCACTCAGGACAGTGAACTTTAAAATGCAGCAGTAAATTTTGTCCCATCCTGATCGCAGCAGCCATTACTGAAAGGTTCTCAAAGTGGTTGAATGGTTGAAATGCTTACTTTCAAGACCCAAATATCCTTAAAATATTTTTTAAATACTCTGGTCCTTCTGAGGTCATTAAAATGATATGAAAAGATCTAAGATGATTTTTTAAAATTATATATAGAATTTATTTTTCGCTTTGATGTGCAACTGTGAGCATTTAATTGACAAGTTATATCTAGACTAATTTTAATGCGTCTTATTCACTATTGCCTTCAAGCGTGCATTGGAAATGTGTGTGATTGGTAATGTCTGAATAGCCTAAAATTGTATTGGTCTGTATCTGCTAAATGATGATGCATTTCAAATTTTGTGTGATATGGACAAAGGTTAGACCAGTGGTTCCCAACCCTGGTCCTGGAGGCACCCCAACACTGCACGTTTTGCATGTCTCCTTAATCAAACACACCTGATTCAGGTCATCAGCTCATTAGTAGAGACTCCAAGACCTGAAACTGGTGTGTCAGAGAAAGGAAACATGCAAAATGTGCAGTGTTGGGGTGCCTCCAGGACCAGGGCTGGGAAACACTGGGTTAGACAAAAAAAATTGGCAAAATGATTCTGGCCAAAATAAATGTTGGTACTAGCTAATACGGTTCCCAATTATACAAGCAGAGAGTAATGTTTTTATGGTCTCTGACACCTTTCTTTCTAATAAGATAGAACGAAAGTCAATACAACATCAAACACAACAGCAGGAATGCCTGGACCCCTAACTAGACCTTGTAATAAAAACATGGCCTTAATTTCACCTGAAGGTTGACCTCTGCCTCAAAGAAGGTCAGACAGGAGCAGAAGTGTCGTTCTGAGTCTATGTCTGTCAGCACCACTGTGAAGAATGTCGGGAGCTTCCTCTCACGAGACAGCCTCCATCCACCAGGCTGGCAGAACTGTAAAAGCACACAAAAAAAACAGTGTTAGACTTGCCTCTACAAGAACCTGACATTACCAGAATATCCAGTCGGCACAAAAAGCAACCAGTAAATTCTGGTTATCATAAGAGGTGACATCATAAGCAGGTTGTTGAAATTCATTTCAAACACTTTTCATTGTTTTGACAGGGCTTACTGGAATGCAGTATGAGGCTGTTATGGCACGTCAGTGTGCAAATGGGATAGTTTGTGATCATATGCAGGATATGCCACTTCAGATAGTACATCCTCTCATCAGAAGGCAGGAAACGACACTGACTGCCTCAGTGCCCTTCCAAAAGCCCCTCCACATCCATTCTGTTACATAGAAAACCCTAATAAATGAACCTGGATAATATCCTGTAGCTGACTGACTGTCCTGCTGCTGAATCCATGCTGCTGCAAATTCAGTGTCACAGCAAAATAAATTATTTGCAATCAGCTGTTATTTTGAATGTGTATTGAATGTGCTGCAATAAAAAGACAGTGTAAAAATCAAAGCTTTTGAATTGGAGTTGAACCGAATCAAGTATTTGAATTAAATACATTTGAAAATGTGTACTCCTACACTGCAAATTATCAAGATTTCAGAAGCAAGTGGCTTTCCTGTAGCTCAGACTAGTGTCACGGTGCCAAAATTTCAGTATTTGGTGCCAATAAAATCTCACAGTACCATAGCAAAAACTACTGTATAGTATAACTATTTTAACAGTTATCATTTACCTCTTCTTTGAAAATAAAAACATTCAATAAATTAAATCAGTTCATTATATATAATTAATAATTCTAAGTAAATAATAGAATAAAACATTAGCATGTAGGCTTCAACTATTGTTCAGTTAAGCAAACACTACATTAAAAAGATCAAATGAAAAGTTAGTAATACAATTAAAAACAAAGAAACGCATTACAGGTTACAGAAAAAGTGTCAGATCCATTGCACTTTGCAAGACTTAATGCACAGATCTATTTTGACATATCAATTTTTTTCAAACATCAGTACTTTTGACAACAGTAGCTCAAACAGTAGAGCATGGCGCTAGAAATGCCAAGGTCTTGGCAAGGTCAACGCCAAGGTTCGTTCCCAGGCAAAGCAAGAACTGATCAAATGTAAATGTGCACTTTAAATGCAATGAAAGTGGCTGCCAAATGTGTACATGTAAATGAAAATTAAAGCGCAGGCAATGAATAGACACTGCTCTCCTGGTTAGCGGTAATGAGACAGGAGAAAACGAGACACATCCGAGTAAATCTGCTGTGTTGGTGCTAGAGTTTAAAGTGGTTTGGCAGGCACAATGAGGCTGGATCACAAATGGCGGCCTGGCATTAGAGAGATGAGGAAGAGCAACAGAGGAAAGTCAGGGACAGAGATGAAAGAAAGAGGGAAACTACTGCATTCTGCACAAAGACTAGCGTTAGACAGCTTTTGACTCACGCCTAGGCAAAAGCGATAAGGTGAGTGGGTGGAAACAGAGAATAAAGAGTGAAGGAATGAACGCGAGAGAGACAGCGAGAATGAAAGACAGAGCTATACAGAGTGTGTTGGATTGACCTCAGGGCTTGAACCAGGATGTTAGCATCCCGCTGCAGCCACAATAGAAGGCAGGAAATCTGGAACACTGGAAGGTGAAAACGGAAGAGCATGATGCTCCTTCCCCTTCTCAGATTGGGACAGGTTCCAGGAAAATTACAGAAAAATATGAAAATATTCAAAGTATGCAATCAATTCCCTACCAAATCCAGATAAACAAATAATGAGCGTGCGTACGTGGGTGGGGTTGATGATGTAGGACGGCAATGCCACACAGACCCAAAATGGACAGGAAAGACGCTGTAATTTGACGCAAATGACAACCTACGCACAAACCATAGTGAACGTACTGTGCTCCTATCTCTACAGTTTCATTTTTATTTGCCTTAAATTTAATGTGACTAGGTCTATAATTGTGGAAAATAGGTTGTGTATTATTACGCTTAAGCGCCATCAATACCCTTCCTGAGGCTGTTATTATGCAAGTGGCCAGAAGCTCTTCAGTCTGGCATTTAGTCAAATACTACAAAAGCCAAGCCTCAGTCTGAAGTGTTCTGCACATGCTTGGTTTAGTTCACAAGACAACATCCAGACAGACAAGAACTGTGGATAAACCCGACATGTCTGATCAACTGGATCACAGTCTCATTGGAGGGAGGGGGGGGGTTCTTTTACAGTAAATATTAGCTCAAGTTTGATATTTAAGAGCATTGAAATAGTCCAAGTAGAAGGCTAGGATTGATGGATGGAGGTCCAGGACAAGATGTTTCACACAGCTGGAAAATTAAGTCATGCTACAATATGTTACAGTGAATGGTTATTGGATTCTGTTATCTGATGACAAACATAAAAATGAAACACAATGGAGCCCAAACAAGGGGTCGAGGGAAGCAAGGGATCGATTCTTTAATCATGACTGTGATAAGAGGTCTTTGCTTCTGTAGTTCCAGTGGTTATTATTGTCACGTAGGAGAATTCCAAGCTTGGAGTTGTATGAAATACAGCATTAATGATACACATCGAATAACAATCATGGCTGTACTTTGAAATATCAGAGAAAAGAGTCAGAGCTGAAACTATCTGAACTTTGAGCTTCACATTACAATGCTTCACCTGCTGACAACAAGTTGGCTTGCTGCTCGCTTCAATGGAGGCACAAGTCATGTGAAAGTGTCTCAATTGTTCTCCAAACTGTGTGTGCACTCTTGCAACCATGAAACAGCAGAGTCATATCAGAGAAGACAGACCTTTTCCTTAAATTAGCTCTCGGTCAAGTGACAATGGCACTCCATAGTGTTCTAGCAGCCGTGATGTCAGAGGGCATTCAGTTACACTGCTGGCCTGTCAGTGAGAGTTCCTCATCATGTGAGAAATGAATGGCACGTCCACTCTGCAAACAAGACACCAGATCTCCAGCTTGACCTGTTAAGAATCAGTTCAGCGGCTGAAAGCATGGAGAACAGAACAACCATATTAGATCTTCGGCTGCCTTGTACTGTGTTCCGTTACTTGCATCTCTGTTTAATGACGGCCATAAAAGGCAGAGGACCGCTGCCCCAGCTAAATGACAAAGAAAGAGCCGCCGCTCTGATTACTGGGAGTTGTGCAACAGTGCCAGGCTGGTTCATAAGGTACATACATAAGCTGTCACAGCAGAAACATATCCCTTGAGATTCAAACTGACTTGATTTCTGTGGGATACTTAGTAAGGCTCTACAATGAATCAAATATTGAAGATTATGTTTAGACACTGGCACAATTAAAGAAGTAGCTCAGCCAGAAATGACAAAGCTATTTCAAAATCATGGTGGTCTCCTTTGTGCCATTCAGAGCTTCCCACTTCATTCCAGTAAGTGGCGGATTCTTCTTCCTCTTCTGATGTTTTAAAGGCAATTGGTCAACCATCATTCTGGAATGGATTGTGAAGCACCGGATGGTGCACAGGACAGCAACAGAGCACAGCAGTGATGACTGATGACTTTTTTTTTTTTAATGCCAGCCCGTTAGTTTGCATCACCTTGGTTTCCTTGACCAAAACGCAACATCATTTTTCCATTGGCTTTTGGATTATAGCAGGAAAAGCTCTGTGACCTAAAAAAAGTTTATGATTCAAATTTTGTAACATGAAGGCTATAAGCCAACTATACCACGGTCACATGACTTCAACGTCACCAGCGCCAATGTTTTCTTGTTTGGTGTAATTGTGTTTAATCAGTGTCCCAGAGAACTTCTGCAGTCCCATTTAACCACTTGTTTGCAACTGCTTTTTTAATTAATCACAAGGGGATTTTACAAAAAAAAAAAAACTCAGTAATACCCCTTTTGATTTTTTTGTTTTTTATGTTGTAGAATAAAACGTGAAAATATCTTGAAATTGTGTTAACCATACCCTTATTCACAATGGAACAAAAAGTGCTAAATTGCCAAATTGTTTTGAGGTTTTGGCCATAAATCTCATCTCTGCAGTACTCATTGTAGCCGCCACAAATTTACTTTGCAATTGCTTAGATATTGGGTTGAATTTCACTAAATCCAACCAGAGCACTCAGAAAACAATAAACCAGTTTCATGGACTTTTTTGCTGACCCCTGACACCAAAACAGATATTCATTAAAATAATTTACTTTTGTTTTATATAGAAGAATATCAAATGGGTTTGGAACAACAAAATTTAATTATGACAATGTTTTCATTCCTTTAACTAATCCTTAAAACTCTTAATTGCACAGTTTCTTTTAGGCTTAGTTGAAGCCTATCATTCTAATCAATGAGGAAAATAGTATAAATGAGAGATTTATTTTTCAGAACAGGCATCTGAAGCATAGGATTTACGCAATGCTGCCTTAGAATTTAGTCAAAGCACAGTATTTTTTAAAGCATAATTGAGCCTTAGCATTGGGAGTGAGCATATGATGCCTAAAAAAAGCTGTCCAAGTTATGCCGCTCACTAGATTTTGGAACACAACTATTAACAATGTGTGAGGAAAAGAGAGCGGGTGTGTTTTCATAAAGTGTGAGAATATAGGTTATAAATGGAACAGACACTTCTTGGCCCATCATAACCTTCACGTCTTTGTGAACAACAGCTGAAAATCTCTCAGGAAGAAGAACAATAACACAGGAGAAAGGGGTGTCAGCACTGGGCGTCCTCCGTCAACACTGTATAGTTTTATCAAAATGGACAGCAGCTAATGCAGAATCCAAATATGGGACAGTCTATTTCTGTCAGCCACGGACCAAGGGTAGGATATGCTCAGCTGGGCCAAAAAGGAGACCCCATTCTTCTGAATGTGTTAAGCTGAAGGAAACCTGGAATAACCTGTGATGCAAACACTTCCTGAGAACATCTTCAGGGTCAAAGGAAATTTAAAGGGGTCATATGATGCTTTTTTTAAAGATCATTATTTTGTGTATTTGGTGTAACAGAATATGTTGCCATGCTTTAATG